GACGTCAGCATCGACTGAAATTGGCATTGAATATCTATTCAAATCAACATGGAAGCATTATGGTATCATCTATGGAACTCGAACACCGCTGATAATTGCACCTAGTACAATGACGGGGCAATTTTACCTTAAAAATGTCATTTTGGATGTGGCTAGACTGTTCCGAGGCGCCGTGGTAATGATTTTGTATATATGGATGATAATGACTCATCACATCGAACACTGGCTGTGCAAAACGCTCTGGAGGAAGAAAGAATTGCAAAGATAGATTGGCCACCGAACTCGCCAGACACGAATCCGACAGAGCATATTTGGAGTCACATTTCGAAAAGGCTGCATACCAGAAATGATCCACCTGACAGCTTCGAAATGCTTCGAAATGCATGTTATCAACAGAATGGAAGCCTGCAGAAGGGCTATGGGAGGCAATACATCCTATTGAAGAAAGTAGGACAACTATTATGTAAACTTTTCAATTATTTGGAATTCTGTCATTTTCTTTCATTTTATGGATTCTCATAATCATTTCATTTTTTTCTTCTTAAATGAATATTGAAAAATACAATATCGTTCGTTTGTTACATTTAACGACTTCTATTCATCACTTATAGATAATTTGAAACAGAAAACTGAATTTTCAGAAATACGTACTAACGCACTTATCAAGCCTGTTAGTGTATATATGCAAGATTTGTTACCTCTGCTGAAAACTCATTAAAAGGAATACAAAATGGATTTAGAAACAAAAAATCGACGATTCGTGCTGATGAGTTCTCTGTGAATTAAGTAAATGTGTTGAAGGACGGGCGGCTATTCATATTCGAGAGTTTTGGCGTGGAGAAATTGTGGCATTGTTGATCACTTCAGAGAACTATTGAATGTTACAAAAAAATTAACTCTAGCTTTTTTGGATCCAAAGATATACAAAAAAAACGACATTTTATTTTCAACTGTAACTTATTTATTGACAAAAATATTGAAAATCCGTTTATACTTCACCACAGGAACTTTCGATGAGATTTTAGTTTTATCTGGAAAACTCAAAGTGGCTAACTTGAACTTAGTATATGAAAAAGTAATCACACATCAATATTGATTAATTAAGGACCACTTGCCCTGTTATTTTTTATTAGCAAAAGTTTTTAAAACATTGTACAGGGTGTACTGAATAAGTGTAAAACATTTAAGGAAGTGATTCCTCATCGAAAAAAAGATAGGATCTTCCATATAAAGAAACTTCATTGGAGCATCCCTTGTTAAGATACAGTCCCTTAAAGGGGGTACATAAAATTTGTATAACAATTTTTTTCACAAGCACTAAAAAAGTTACAATATTGAAATTAACCTGACGTTTTGTACTACCAAAAAGACACTTATCCAGAAATTTATTTGGTTTACCCCATGGTTGTAAGGGGTGGAAAACGCAACCCCTAACTTTTTGTCTTATTATTTGTTTACCATTTCAAAATTTATTTCCGATAGCCTGTTTCATTCTAAACAAAAAATGTCTCCTGGGTTTTTTGCCCAAAATAAACCAGTTCGCAGCAAAAAATTATTTTACGATACATCGTCATAAATGCGAACTGGATTTATTGTTATTTTGTAGTTAGTACCTGCATTAAACGATTAAAGGGTAATGAACAAAACTAATTTATTAATAACAAAACACACAACATGTAGAAATCATAGTAAATGTTCAATATGTCTACCTTCAGACATTACGCATGCGTCTAGACGTCGGCGCATTGAGCCACGTATTCGCTCAAATATTCCTGGAGTCTCTCAGATTACCCTGCACGCATCGATGATGCGATTTCTTAAGTCCTCTACATCGCGAACAGGAGTACGATAAACCAATTGCTGTAAATGGCCCCAAATAGAGAAATCGAGAGGATTGAGATCCTTGGATCGAGCGGGCCAGTTCTGTGGTCCTCCTCGACCTATCCACTGATTTGCATATGTTTCAGTTGAATGCTGACGTGCTACTTGACTAAAATGGGCGGGAGCTTCATCATGCATAAAAAACATATCCCTTCTGACGCACAAAGGAACTTCCTCCAGCAGTACTGGGGGCACTTCTCTTAAAAATTGAACATATGCCTCACAATTTAATCAAGGAGGTAGAAAATGAGGTCCAATTGATTCATCCCCAATAACACCGAGTCACACGTTAAGAGAAAACTGTTCTTGAAGGTTAGTTTCGACAATAGTGTGTGTGTGTGTGTGTGTGTGTGACTATCGCTAATAGCGACCTACTAAATAGATTAGTTTCGTATTTTAGCATTTATGACGGTGTACCTCTGTAGTTGTTCCTAAAATAATTTTTTGCTGCGAACTGGTTTATTTTGGGCAAAAAACCCAAAATATATTTTTTGTTTAGAATGAAACAAACTATCGGAAATAAATTTTTAAATGGTAAACAAATAAGACAAAAAGTTACATTGGAAATAAATTTTAGGGGTTGCATTTTCCACCACTCACAACCATGTGGTAAACTGAATAAATTTCTGGCTAAGTGTCTTTTTGGTAGTACAAAACGTCAGGTTAATTTCAATATGGTAAATTTTTTAGTGCTTGTGAAAAAAATTATTATACAAATTTTATGTACCTCCTTTAAGGGACTGTATCTTAACAAGGATTGCTCCATTGAAATTTATTTATATGAAAGATCTTATCTTTTTTTCGATGAGGAATAACCTCCTTGAATGTTTTACACTTATTTAGTTACACCCTGTATATGCAAGATTGTCACTATCTCTAAGAACAAAAAATTACTAAGTGACCAACAAACTGGGCTTAAAAAAAGAAAATCGACGATATGTGCTAATTATCAAGCTATCTGTGAAACAACTGAATGTTTGTTTGAAGGTAGTTGACAATGTTTCGTGGTTCGTTTCATTAGTTCGGACTTCCATTGTCCAATATGACATAAATTGATTTGAAATACCTGAAAGAATCTGTTAAACATTAAAAAAGATTAGGTGAAAAAATAACAATTATATTAAGCAAAAAAAAATAAATTACAATGAAATAAAATACAAGCAACAAAAAAAAAGAAAAAAAAACTGAGCTATTAACACGAGATGAAAGGAAAAGGATAGGAAGGATTGGGTCCAAGTATAAAATCAGAACCTGCTTCAGATCTGGGAACACTATCCATAGCAACTTTACAAAAACCAGGCCACCAAACACGGACTGCGATTCCAAGAATTGCATTTACCGGATACCCTGCGAGTGCGGAGAATCATACATCGGTGAAACTACGAGGCCATTGAAAGTTCGAATTGCCGAGCACAAGAAACACACACAGCGAGGGGAAACCAGCAAATCCGGAATAGCAGAGCATGTTTGAACTCATCAACATAACGTCATAGGGGCTCAAGCTGAAATCATCCACAAGGAAGAACACTGGTTCAGGAGAAAATTCAAAGAAGCCGCGTATATGTTGTCCAACAACTCATTTAGCCAAGCTAGCGTAGAGATACGCAGCATATGGAAACCTCAATCAAGCGGAACACGACCAACTCCCGCCAAACGGTCAGTTTCCGCTAAAATCGAGGGAATAGGTGAAAGATCTCGGAGGAACAAGTCCAGTTATCACCCGAAGACGATTATGGATACTAATAATCGAAACGTAGTGAAGTAACTTGGTTTGGAATCTTTTAATGTTCAATTTTCATTTCTTGTTAATAATTTTTTTATTTTCATAACGTGTTAATAGTTCAATTTTTTGGTTGTTGCTTGTATGTTATTTCATTGTAATTTCAGTTCTTTGCTTAAAAAAATTATTATTTTTCAGCTAAACTTCTTAATGTTTTCAGGGATTTCAGATCAATTTATATTAGACAATGGAAGTCCGAACTAATGGAATGCAGTCTATAGAAATACTTGGTTTTGAGTGTTGTTCGAATGGGTTTCCGTGAGTTCATTCTTTTTTCAGGAACCAAATGTAAGCTTGACAACATATTCTCGTGCGTAATATTTTCAGCTTTTTCACTGATTTTTCGTATTCTCAATATTCCTTGAAGTGATTATCATTTTCATCACAATGTATGAAAATTGTTTTGTTCCCCTTCAAACAAGTACTACAATCTTATTTGAATTGAAGGGGTTATATTTTTAGGAGTGATTAATTTTGTAATCAATTTGAAAATAAGTAATTCTATACATGGATGTATAGATCATGCAAAGAAGTAACTTTCAGACACAAACTGAAAGAAAGTCCTCCTGAAACAGCTACTTTCATATAAACATTGAATTACACGAAAGAAAAATTTTTTTTCGAAACAAATACTTTCATATGCACACTAAATACAGAAGATACTTTTCTCTACTCAGTTTGTATTCCAAACATTCTTTATGGAATAAAATGAGATATGAATGTCATTACGATGTCATCGATGACATAAGTAGATCAAACTTATTCCGTGACATTAAAAATCGTAATTCATGAATGAATTGTGTATATTTTCTATAATGTTATCCAATTTGGTACTGAAGAGCCTTAGGGCAAGTGTCTTAAGGCGAAACATCGGTGTATACCAGTGAGGATGACAGTGTTCCATGTAAGTGCAATTTGTTACCATTCATTTAAAGTAGAACTCATGTGAATGATATCTGATTTTTATTCCACAACGAATGTTTGAAATACAAACTGTGCAGAGAAAATTATCTTCTGTATAATTCAGTGTTCATATTGAAGTATTTGTTTCAAAAGAATTTTTTTCGTTCAGGTAATTCAATGTTTATATGAAAGTAGCTGTTTCAGGAGGATTTTCTTTCAGTTTGTGTCTGAAAGTTACTTCTTTGCATGATCTACACATCCATGTATAGAGTTACTTATTTTCAAATTGATTACTTCCTTTCTTTCTTTGGAAGATTCCCACATCTTTTTTGTATCAAGATGGAGTAGTAGAAAGCCAAAAACTTTCTTTTCCAAAAAAGTACTACAAGTACTAACAAGATTGTAAATTATATAAAAGAATAAGTTTTTCACAATAATGACAGATGAGACCACAGATTTGCCTGTTAACAAACAACTTCCAATTTGCATAGGGCAAACCAACACCAAAGACTGCAAGATTGAAGAAGATTTCATCAAGTTTGAAGAAGTGGTGGATCTCAGTGGTGAAAATTTGGCTCACATAATTTTAGAAGAGCTAGGTAAAATTGGCCTTGATTCGGATAATTGTCAAGCTTTTGATGGATCCTCCAATATGAGTGGTATATTTAAGGGTGTGCAAGCCCGCATTTCCCAGACTCAGCCTCTTGAAATCCACAGCCACTGTTCCAACCATAGGCTGAACTTGGCTATAAGCAAGGCTTGTTCTGTTACTAGCAAATTTTTCCCCGACTCCGCTGCAAGATTTAAACTTTTGGAAGAATGCGGGAAAATCATGCCCTCAAGCCAGAAAACTGTGTAAAACAAGATGGATAGGTACAAAGCCGTGTTGACTTTCATGGAACACCTTCCTGTCCTCCCCACTGTCCTCGAAGCCACTGCTAGTTCCCTGGATGGGGAACTTTATTCTGTCGTCAGAGTATTTAATTAGTGTAATTATGTTGGCTGAGGTACTTGGAGTAACTTTACTTGTTAGCTTGTAAACCCTAAGAAGAATACATGAATGTGATGCAAGATTTGCAGCTTATAGCAGCTACAGTAAAAAGCATACAGAAAAAACGAGACAACAGCTCTGACACCTTTACAACCGGACGGCTTAATTTGGTGAAAGAAATGGACACAGTAATTCAAATGCCTAGGACAACAGCTCGACAAAAAACGATCTAATGTACAAACAGACTCACCTGAGATCTATTATCGCATGTCAGTGTACATTCCGTTTCTTGTTTTCATTATGAATGAATTAATGGCAAGGTTCCCCAAAAAGGAGATAGAATGTGTAGGCAAGCTGCAACACCGGTTAACACCCGATATAAATGATGGGCAATCAAATACAAAGATTTGTTATGCTTTTTGGCCTTGGAAGGTAAGTTACAAATGCAGAAACTAAATCTCGAAAATAAGTTGCCTTGACACCCATCGAAAGCTTACAAGTTTGCCGATTCCCAAACATCTGGATAATACTGCAGCTATTGTGCACTCTTGCTGTGACTACCAGAACAGCAGAGAGAACTTTTTCAGCTTTGCATCATTTAAAAACATATCTACGAAATACAGTGACTGAGAGAGACTAAATGGTTTGGTTTTACTGCACGTACACCAGGATAGTTCCAATATAATGAAAGCTGAAGAAGTCTTCGACGTATACATAAGAAAGCACAAGAGAAAATTATCTCTGAAGGTGTTATGAAAAATTTACATATAAAATATATTATGTTTATATTATAACATATTATTACGTTCGATCATTAGTAAACTTGATTATTAAAAAGTCATTATTACTTACTTTTTAGTTAATTATGCTTCTATCAGAACAGCTTTTCCCCCAATGGTAATGATGGTAAGTTTTATTTTGAATATACATATTTTTCTTATTATTACTAGTAATACAATATTTAAAACTGAGCAAAGGTTTCAAATTTTTTTTCAAATGTTTGTTCCTGAATGCATACTACGGAACATCAATAGAAAACCTCCAAGCACTCAGTGCTTTGTGGAGGGGTTATGCACCCCATACCCTGAGTTGTGGCCCCCCCAGAATGATTTTCTGGATCCGCCACAGGTGGGGAGGAAAGTGGTAACGCCTGATTCGACTTATCAAATAGTTGCTGTGATAAGTTTTGTTCAAAGCTTTCCCAGACTATGAATAACTTCGTACTATTCGATATGATTGTAAATCTATGGTGAACTACAAGCATCTAACCTATATTTTCGAAGATCAATCGGATCTTGTCGTCTTAACACCCAACATTAAAATGAGAAAAAATCCACAGTCAGTCTTTGATAAAATAGATGGCACTGCTCTCCGTAGAAGATTGAGATATAAACAAAAACTCAAGAGAAAACTTAAGAAACCGATTTTGGAAAGAATACTTGGGACAGTTTTCATCAGAGAAAACACAATAGTGGACGATGTAAGCTGCGGTAAAAATGGAAAAATCGTAAGTTGTATGACTGAGAACATCCTCAGGATTTATATTATGACCTATAACAATAACATATTCTTTAGAAATGACTGAGGATGAAAGAGAATTTTTGAAATCCGGCTAAGATAAAGAACAAAATGTCCAAAAAAATATTCAAACTACAAGACGTGGAAGGCAAATCGATCCTCCATCGCGACTCAATATTTGAATGAAACGAAGATATTGATATTCTACTCCTCTGGCAATACGTGTTTCACGATACAATGGCTTCTTCGGACGTGTCTTTAAGAAGCCATTGTATGACGAAACACGTGTTGCGTTTTTGTAAAACTGTTTAGTGAAAATCTAACAACAAATTATTGATTGAAATGAATTAATTTTGATGTTGAATTGTTTTGATTTTCATTTTTGACTGATCGTGAGATGTTGTCCAATTTTCAAAGTTATACTGTAGCAACGTTATCAAGTTTATCTATTTCCTTCACAGTCTACAGATTGATAGATTATTATACTGATTAGGTTGATAATTGTAATACCATCTACACCTATAGCATTCTTTTTAATGCTTCAAACTATTACCACTTACTCGGTTGAGACAGTCGAAAATAACCTCATGACTTCAGATTATTTATATATTTATCTACGGGGTCATTGGAATTGTGACATATATCGTCTATTTTTTTTATTATTATTAATACGCTTTCATTAGCTTTACCTGTATGTATGTATGTTTTTTGTATGTTTGTTCGTAACTTTCCTTGCTTGATCTATTCGCGGGCAGATGGCGCTGTACGTTGGCGGGCAGATGGCGCCGTACGTAACCTCTTTGATGTATTCGCCGGCCTAATAGTATACTTTGTAGCTTGTTGAAATAATATTTTAATTATTAGATTTACCTGACTATTACATAAGAACACATTGTAAAATTAATTTAAGACTGGTAGATACTTACTTGTACTTAAACACAAATAAATGTAAAATAATGAAATTCACACGTAAAATATTACCTGTAACATTCAACTATGTACTAGATCAGGGGTCTCCAAACTTTGAAGCCTTCGGGCCATAATGATTTTTTCAGATTGTTCCAAGGGCCAATTTCTGCCCTTTACTATATTTTTAGACTAGGATAGTCACAAAGTGCGTGACCTAAGCAAACTTACGATTTTTTGCATTTCAATTATTATTTAGCACATTTCATATTCCCGTTTCCAATTAATGCTATTCAGTGTAACGCGTATTTCATCTAGATTCTGTAGCACATTTCATATTCCCGTTTCCAATACACTGGAATATTCCGGATATACTCGGAATTTCAGAACTTTCTCAACGGCATATTTTTAGTCAGGTAAATGCGCAGCTTTGCCTCAATTTAACCATTTTCGTATATGTCATAGTTTTCGAGATCGAGATGATGAGGATCGAATTTGAAACACCCTGAACCTGAGCTGAGGTAAAAGATTAGTCACTAAGTAGGTAGAAGGTCTAATTCGAATTGTTAAATTATAGAAAGCACGTCTAGGTAGAATTTAGTTAGTATGAACATACCTGAGAAAGCAATTGTATAGTGAAACATGTGTTGCAGTTTTGTAAACTGTTGAGTGAAATCTCACAATAAAGTGTTACTGTTTGAAAAATATGTTGCTGGTTATCGAATTATGCGGTATTGGGGTAACGTGAAACCGAACATTTGAAATCATTTATATACAATCAAAGGCCTTGGATGAATCCAGAAAAATCCCGCAGAACAGATCTCCCCTTTCCATTGATTCTATAACTTCATTGTTAAAATGAACCAGAGCTGTTTCGATAGACCTATTTTTCAGTTGACCATGTTGATTTGTAAAAAAGGAAACTAATTGATAGATAGATAGATAGATAACTTTATTACCTCATTAGCCACATAAGTGTAGGTTCGTTAGTTACAATCATCGGATACAACATACAACAATTGTTTGGACATGGGTAATTCAAAAATTTTTGATATACAAGTCAGTAAAGTAATAGGTCTAAATTTGGAAAGTTCCGACTTATTTCCCTTTTTTACACGCTTTATATTAGCTTTACCTGTATGTATGCATGTATGAATGTATGTTTGTTTGTTTGTTTGCATGTATGTTTGTTGGTAACTCTCAAGTTCGGGATCTGTATTGACAGAATTATCGGCATTATTGCTTGATCTATTCGCGGGCAGATAGCGCTGTACGTAACTATCAATTACTGCTTGATATGTTTACGGGTAGATGGCGCGGTGCCATATTTTTGTGTATCAGGCGCCCATCGCTTTTTTCACAATAATACTAGTATTTTTCGTTCGTTATTGTTTTAAGCTTATTTAAAAAAATTATTTTTAACTTTTCAGTTGCATGTTCTTTAAAAGCGTATTTTTTTAGTTTTTTAAACTATATTTATTATGAAATGACTTCACTAGAGCTACTTTGAGTTCATCTGGAAAAAAAACCTCCTCAAAAGAACGATTGATTAAATGGGTTAAAACTGTTACAATTTCAAGTGCACATTTTTTTAGTATATGGATTAGTACTTAATCAATACCCGTGCTTTTCTCGTTCTTCATATTATTTACCATTTTCATTATTATTATGGTTAAGTAATAATAAAAATAGGCCGATAAATATTGTCAAAACCATCGGCACCGTTTTCAAATACAATTGAAAACATTGTATTTTTCCTTTTTGATTATTTTGTTGATTTTCATTAATAATAATAATAATAATGTTTACTTTCAACCCTCATTCGTTTTGTTCTTTGGGTGTCTGTGATTATTTTTAAAGGATTTCATGTTTGTTGATTAATTTGTATAGCTTTTACTTTAACATTTCAAATATAAAATGTTCACTTGAAATGAGTTTTTCAATACACATATCATCATTACTAATAATTTACCTTAAAAATATGGTTTGCGGAATTTTTAAGTTGTGTTAAATATTGTTGTAACAAACATGAAGTTTGTGAATCCCTGATAAAATTAAAATCCAAGTTACTTGCATAAATATGCATGAATTTGAACAAATTTTTGCTCAACTGATTTTGTTATGATTAACTTATGGAAATGTTTAGGGTGATTATGAAATATATAACAAACTGGGGAAAAAAAAATGAATAAAATTTAAAAAAAACAAAAAATGTCATAGGAGGCCATGTTTTGGTATTCAGGCATAACCTTCAACTGTAAACAACTTTTCTCGATAACATTTTGCTGAAGTTTCTAAAATAAGGGTACATTAAACAGATTTAGTCTTGAGCAATTTTTATATTTTTTGACCTACCCTGTATATTGTTTGACTTGCAACCATTCTAATGATTGCCGAACATATGTACATCAACTTTCGGCACTATCTGTATTTTGGTTATGCAATTAATTAAAAAAAAATCCCATATGTTGCACACTTAACCTTACCGGAAATAATGGAGGGATAGAATAGAATAGAATAATCCTTATTTAATTTCCATATGTCGCATAGTGTTGCTCATCTTTTATTATGTATAGTTGTGTAGATTTATATAGTATTAAGTGTGACATGTTACCTTTTATTAACAAGTTTAATTGTTGTTGACATATTTTCTCTGGTATCAGTGCTATGTATATTTTATATTTTTTTTAAAATTTTTTAACTTTGTAACCATGATGTTATTCATGAACAATAAAGTACTTTCTCTCTCTCTCTCTCTGTTATTAATAATTATTCAAAAGAGAATGCAGTAGTACATACGTAAAGAGACTAAGTATCGTTTCCATTACACTAGTTTACAGCCAATATACCACTGTAATGCCAATGGCAGTTCTTTGTTAATTTTTAGTCCCTAAATGCGAAAATGATAGTAGAAATTTCCTAACACATAATATTTTTGAGTTATGATTGTTTTCACAAAAATTTAATGAAAACGACATTCCAAGTTTGCTTTTCCCCTTTTCCTTCACTTGTCCAAAGAGTATGCTGAACATTACAACAATGGAATTTACTAGCCCCTAAAACCAAAGTTGCAATATTTAGGAACCGTAACCTTGAGCTATCCTCGTGTTTTACTATGCAGGATAAAATGTGTGTTTGTGTAAATCCAAATGGTGTGATGGAAAAATTAGGATTTGCACATAACCCGGACAAATGGCGTTTATTTATAGATTTGTCTAAAACAAGTTCAAAAGCCGTTCTGCTCTATAATGGTAACAAAAGGCCCTTTATTCCTCTTGCACATGGAGTTGCCATGAAGGAAACACACGACAGTATGCCACTTATTCTAAATGCAATAAGTTGTAATACATATAAGTGGCAAATTTGTGGTGACCTAAGTTATAGGACTATTACTAGGTCTTCAGAGCGAATTTGCGAAGTTTTGCTGTTTTGTTTGCCTTTGGAACAGTAGGGCAAAACAGAGCCATTATCAAATAAAAGAATGGCCTCCGCGAGGGATAAATATATTCCAGGTCAAGCTAACGTGAAGAATATATTTGTTTGAAGGTGGTGGTTTCACAATGGAGAAGGAAGTCCACAACGAATTGCTTTTCTTAGACGTTTTGGTGAAGAGGACCGATACTAAATGCGAAACATCTGTATATCGAAAACTCACTCACACAGGACAGTATCTGAATCAGAAATCCAACCACCATTAATCGACTAAGAGAGGAATCATCAAGATTCTACTAGAGCGTGCCTTTGGGCTCTGTAATACAAAGGAAGGTCTCGAAAAGAAACTAGGCATCATCAAAAATGACCTTCAACAGAATGGTTACTCCAGAGTGATGGTAGAACAGGCTTTAGCTAGAAGACAGCAAGAGCTCCACAATGAAGAGAAGTCGCCACAACCAGTACTTGTAATTCCCTACATCAGAGGATTATCGGAAAGGATAAGAAGGATTGGGTTCAAGTATAACATCAGGACCTGCTTCAGACCGTAGCAGCCTCACGAAAACCAGGCCACCAAACGCGGACTGCGATTCCAAGAATGGCATTTACTGGATACCCTGCAAGTGCAGAGAATCATACATTGGTGAAACTAAGAGGCCATTGAAAGTTCACATTGCTGAGCACAAGAAACACACACAGCGAGGAGAAATCAGCAAATCCAGAATAGCAGAGCATGTTTGGACTCAAGAACATAATATCAAGTGGGCTCAAGCTGAAATCATCCACAAAGAGGAACACTGATTTAGGAGAAAATTCAAAGAAGCCGCTTATATGTTGTCCAACAACATATTTAGTCAAGCTAGCGTAGAATTACGTAATATATGGAAACCCTAATCAAGCATAAAACGACCAACTCCCGCCAGGGAAGAGGAGATATGTGAAAGCACTCGAATAACCTATAAATAGTCGCATTTCGGAGGAATAAGTCCAGTTATCACCAGAAGACGATTGTGGATACTAACAATCGAAACGTCGTGACGGAGCTTGGTTTGGAATCTTTTAATTTTAATTTTTCATTTTTTGTTAATAATATTGTTTTTTCAAAAGTTATTTGAAAAAAACGAAAATAAAAATAAAACTTCAACATCCTGTATCTTGGAAACGAAGTGTTTCCGGACATTTATTCATTTGGACAATTCATATTAGAATATTGTGAGGAATCACCTCCTGAAGTTTGTCAAAGTACTTTTGAAAAACCCTGTATAAACGAAAGTCAACATTTGCAAAAAGGTTATGCACAAAAAACTTCATTTGAATGTTTTTTCATGTGTACTGTAAATAAAGTCTGTTATCCTCAAAATATATTATTTTTTCTTATTTTTACCTTATATTTCTCTATAATACGTGAACATTTTTGTATAAAATAATAATAACTATAACTCAAAATCTTTATGTGATGGAAAATTTTTGATGTTGAAGTCGCAATCAGGATGCTTTAAACTCTCATGAATAGCCATTATAATATCAGTAGCAATTTTTTTTTCTTATTTGTTGGCTAATGTTATCATAACAAAAAAGTGTAATTTATCTGATGATAGTTGAACTACCAAAGTGGGGGATCTATCGGGACCAATTCAATTTTTAAATATTAAAATAAAACCAAAAATATCTACAAAAATAAAATCTATATTTGAATGTTGGGAGGGGCCAGTGAATAAGGAAGTAAAAGCAAAAAATATAATTTCGAGGTTTCGTAATTCCCACAATTTTTCGGAACCAAAAAAAAAGCTAGACGCGATTTTTATATCATTTAATAGTACTCTAAAATCATCAACTTTGTTATAACTCCAATGACTCTCTACCTCTCAACATTCACGAGATTCCATACACAGACTCGAATTTGAGCCTTGTATTTTAACGGAATCAGTTACTCATGTGAAAAATTTTGAGATGAATCGAATGTACAAAGTAACCGTACCTAATATACTGACAACTTCAACTTCCACAAGGATCAAGATTTACAAATATCATGTAATAATGAACAATTATATAAATTTACAAGTTGTGTACACCAAAGTTTTCCTAAAGAAGTCTTGCCAAAAAAATGAAATCAAAAAAGGTACCAACCCATAAACCGTAATACTGTAAATCAAAGCATGCATGCACAACACCCTCATAACCCATCAGCCTATATCATCCGCACCACTGAGCATGTTTTGATTGTAAATTGCTTGTCTGTAACTATACCTATTAACTGTAGGTGATGGTCTATCTGGAATTGGAGGAGGCACTATACCAGCAACATTGTCCATGAGAGTTACTCCACCAGTTGCTTCATCCACTTCTCCTATGCTATTCTCTACTAGGCTCACAGTCGGTTCAGGATAATGTGGCATTTTTGATCGCAACATCAAAGAGTAGGTTTTGTACCTTTTGAGCTGTGGAAAAATTAATGTGTTACATAGAAAACAAACTTTAATTCACTCTAATATGCTACAGAACCAATTTTTTTTTTCAGAAATTTGAGTAATCATTTGAGTGTCTTGCGAGGACATTTTTGGCTGGAGGACACAAACCCTGGTTAGTTTTTGAATGCAAAGGACGAAAGATTGAAACAAAACAACAACTCTGTTGAGTGTCAGCCATTACATACATTTTTAATATTCGCACTTCTTACACAGTTGCCAAGAATAATTTTTACAGCTTAGCAGTTGACATTTTTGCCAGGAGCACCATTGAAATAATTTTTGAGCTTCAACCAACACTTCCACAAGCTCAAAAATATTTGAACAAAACAAAAAACACATGCTTCCAAACTAAACAATTTTAAAGTGTTTTATTTTACCTCAAGTATACCCAACTCTCTAATGAATTTATTATGAGTAACAGCACACAAGCTCTTTGTTAAAACATCAGCAGGCATGTTGGACGTTTCCAAATATTTGAGTTCAACATGTTCTTCAGCAATAGCTTCTCTTATGAAATGGTGTTTTATATCAATGTGTTTCGTCCGCTTGTTTAATATGGGATCAGCTGATAATTTTTGAGCCCCCACATTATCATTAAATAAAGTTACACACCCTTGAAAACCTATCACACCCTACAATACATTTTTCAATTGGATGGCTTCTTTTGCTGCCTCTGATACTGCCATGTATTCCGATTCCGTGCTCGAGAGAGCAACTGTTTTTTGTTTTCTACTTTCCCAGGCAATAGGTCCGTTTGAAAGTTGAAAACAGAAACCAGTATACGATTTCCTATCATATGTGTTGCACCATTTTTACAAAAATGCAATTCCATAATTCTTTGTTTGCTTCAAGTATTGTAAAATTCGCTTGGCATGCTTCCAATGAGTTTCTGTGTGGCAATTATTAAATTGACTCAGAAAGCTTGCTGGAAAAGAAATATCAGGTCTTGTTAATACAGATAGGTACATAAGGCTTCCGATCAGTTGCTGATAGGGAACCTTATCTGTACTTTCACTATCACTAGGTCTCTCCGTAGGAGTACTAACTATTTTTGATATTAACATGTTAAATCTTTTTAGTAAATTATCTACATACTGTTCTTGATCAAGATAAATAGAATTATTTTCTCCATCTTTAGTTACTCACATGCCCAAACATTGTGTGAGACGTGTGCTACACCCAGAATCAATAAAGAAATCCGTAGTTTTGAAACTTCTGCTTGAAAATACTGCACTAAAAGTATTGTTGCCAGCTTTTGGTTTACTTTTGTCAGCATGAGTTTCAGCATCACCTGGACATTTATTCATAAAGTGCCCTTTCTGCTTGCATTTATAACAAGTGACATTACTTCTGTCTATCAGATCTTAAGTAGTGGAACTGCTGCTGCCATCTGTCGGTTTCCATCGCGACTTTGATGTTGGGTTTTACAGCAACGCTCCACCTTTATTACCTTCGCCATCTAGGTTCATATCGAGCAACTTCGACTTGATTTCATCTCTCTTTTGTCGATTCCTGATTCTTCGTTGGCAAGAATCATAGGCACGAATTTTTCTGGAAGTCCTGCTAACAGAAGAGAACCGACCCAAATCTCGTCGATCATGAAGCCTGTACGATTTAACTTCTGAGCAGTTTCAACAACCTGGCTAACATATGACTCCATTGAATTGCAATTTTCGAATCTTAACAATATTAACATTTGAAGTAGTCCTATCTTTCTTGAAAACCCATTGTCTTCATAAAGCTTCCTCAGTGTGTGCCAAACTTCCTTGGCAGTTGTTACTTCTTTGACGTGCAAAAGCAATTTTGACATTCCTTCCAAAATGAATATGTTCTCAATGGCGAAAGAAAGACCAGTCCTGGTAGTTTTCCTGGCATACTAATCGCAGAACTCTAGTGAGATAGTTTACAGCCATTGTGGTACCTTTTTACAACCGAACTCTCGGCAGATTCCGACATACTCAACACTGAACAACTGTCATTTTAATCGGTCGACCTAGTCAGCGTAAGTACACGTTTACTGGGCCCATAACCTGTTAGTTTTTGAATGAAAGTCAAAGATTGAAACAAAACAACAACTCTGTTGAGTGTCAGCCATTACATACATTTTTAATATGGCACTTCTTACACAGTTGCCAAGATTAATTTTTACAGCTTAGCAGTTGACATTGTTGCCAGGAGCACCATGGAAATAATTTTTGAGCTTTAACCAACAACCCTGTTCTCGCAACTGTTTGAAGAAATGTTCATACTCTGTATAAAAATTCCACCTCAGATGTACCTACTACTGTGAAACTGACCAGGTCCTCATATGAGGGTACGGCTATGGTTCACTAGTTCAGCACACACACCGCTAGGGTTGACTAGTCAACACACTCATGTTAAATGTTCTCAGCTCTTGCGAGGACACACAAATTCAAAATTTCTGCACACATAGCAAGTGGAGATCAGTAATCTGTAATCTGTCTAGAATTATGCCACAATATTTTCTTCTATTTCATATATCTATGGAATATATTTCCTGTGTTTTACATTCTATAAGTATGCCCTATTTGAGGTTGTCTTATCTTTATATATTATATTATTGTAATAATTTCATCTGTTTTATATTTTAGAAGTATGCACCATCTAAGTTTGTCTACCATTTTTATATATTGTATTAGTTTTTGTTATTTTCCCATCTAAATAAAACGAAAAAAACTTGCACTCCAAAAATTGTTTTGTCATAAAAACGGTTCTTTACTTTTGAGCAAAATTCATATTTTTTGACAAATCTTTACGACTTGAAGAATTTGATAACGATTTTAAGTTTTAGTCTTTGAAGAACTTATAAACGTTTAAGTTTGATAAAATTGATAATGAATGTTTTCCTCATGCTTTCGACTTACTAAATGTGCGTGTGTGTGTGTGCCCAGACGTTGGTTGTCAATTTCTTAGCATCAACTTTTCTTACATTTTCATGAATTGTATTTCTTCTTTCTATTTGCCATTAATTTGTTTTAACTGAATCGTTATTGATTATAAAAGTTTCAGAATATTAGAGTTACTAATGATGTAACCATTAGGGATGGCTTATTATTGTCTTCTCTAGGGATGTCTTCATTGACCAATTTGAAACCTTTTAGTTGTATGTCTCTCGAGGATGTAGTAAATTTATTTGTTACTAGCATGTCAATGTTAATATCACCAAAAAGAAAACTATTGGTATCCTGTTCAGAAATTTTTTTAGTTCCTTTTCTAGGAATTCAATAAAGATAAACAATATTATTCATATAGTAGTATCTATTTATAGTTATCTAGTTTCAGTACTGTGTATGATACTTCATTTTCAATTTTCATAATCTCAAATGTTATTGCATTTATAAACAAGATTTCATATCTTTCACCTCTCGCTTTTCTCAATGAGACACAGTTTTAAAATCTTCAACAGTGTAATATTGTTTTTCCTCTGCATTGATTTACACATTAAAATCAAAATTTTTGTTTGTGCCTCATGAATCACAATTTCTAAATCATTGAATTTGTTTTTTATCGATCTCATATTCAAATATAATATAAATTGTTTCTCTTCATCATTTTTAAAGTCTGGATATATATGAATTTGAAATTACACATAATCAACCAGTTTTTAACATAAATTGGACATGTATCTATATTCAATGAATGATTAGACTTGTATTTGGTATTTGAAAAGGTGCAATTGGAACATTTATAATTCTCAGGATTACTTACATTGACATTTTCTGAAGTTATTCTTGTTACAACAGTACAAGTACAAATCATTTAGAATTTTGTAGAATGACAAAATCTACATTTCTATATTTCTTGAGTTTCATATTCTCGCATATTTCAAAAACATCCATCCTATTTTGAGTTTATAATCAACTACGTTAAAAAATATTTTTCCAAAACAACCAAAATAAAACATTCATTTTTCATATATTGAAGCTATGGTATAGGTAATTTGGAACTCATCTTCCTTTAAATTGAAAGTAGTCATTTAGTTCACATACATTTCCCAAATATTAATTGTTCCATAATTATCACATTGAGCTATCAACTGAAATTATTGCTAATATTTTTGGTATTGGGGTTCAGTCAATTTTCCTGTGCATCACCCCATATTCGTTTTGGGCACGTGTATAATTTGCTGCTTAATGTTAGCTGTAGAATCAATTTTAGTTTTAGATAACTAGTTTAGTTTTAGAACTGAATCCAAATAAGACAAACAGAGCATCTCTGCCACATAGAAGAAAAGTCTGGTGTATTTTGTTACTCCATTTCTGTCCTAATCACCTGCGTACCAAACCCCTGAGAAATATTTTGGCACAAGCAAGTACCCCATTTTCACTAAAGATGAGTACCTCCTTAGTGCTATAGTGCAATAAATAGTGAATGCCCAGACAACACAAAGACATCAACAATTCATGTCCAAAGGATATCTAATGGACATTAGGAGTATACCAACCTATTCGACCATAATGATGCATAGGTAACCAATAATTTCTGCTCTTAATAAGTAGACACAAAACTTTCATAGAAGACACTTCAGTTCTCAACTCATGAAGTCTAATGGATACCACATCCAAAAATAGCTTCTATTACGTAAATAGAATGAGTTGTAAGTAAGAAACAAAATTAAAGTAAGCCAAAAAATTAAGATAGAATTCATTAAAAATCAAGATGAAAACCAGACTTACCTCATAATTCAAATACATTTCTTTTTCTTTATAGCTCTGTACAACTTGTGATTTCGATCCTTTCTCTGGTGGTGATCTTCGATGTTCATCTAGAATGGCTCCCAGTCTCATTACTCTCTCCTCGTGATCTGCTAGCTGCTCTCTCTACAATTATAACTGACTGATAAGAATACTAAGACACTAATAAAAATGATTTTACAAGCACTATCATGACACTACCTACTAAACCGAAATACTACATACAAAACATATCTGACCACGTTTACACTCGCTTATAACATGTCTTGTCGATTTTCTGATTGATTCGGCCGTTACTTGATGAAGATCCACAGAAAATGCATAAACTACACCTTACTATTTGATCTCCAAAAATTTTATTCAAAGAAATATATCTTCCAGGATTGGCTTATTGCAAGGCGTTTATTCACCCTTCGAAACTTGATACCAAACAGTTGTTGGACTACAATAATAGGCATGAACTACGATGTCTAACACGCTCTCTTACAGGTCATCATATGCAGAGACTCAGAGACTGTCGGAAGGCAGTGTGTGTCGCCTCTGTTTGGAAAATGATGAAACAGCAGAGCACATACTTTGTGCCTGTCCCGCTGGGGACCGAATAAGGTTTTTAGAGTTTGGCAGAGCCGTACTCTTACCACCTGATCTGAAAGACCACTCTCCTTACCAACTAATCGGCTTCGTTAAGAAGCTGGGTTTATTTGGTCGAGTATGCATAGATGTGAGCCACAATAAACCCTTATGGGTTGCGGTGGAAGGTTGAATAGATCCACTCACTTTGGACCTAACCTAACCTTATAAAACCTACGTAATCACAATGGGCTTGTTTCATGCTATGGAAAATTATATTGGTTTGCTTATAGACTGATCATGTTAGGGGTATATTATACTTATCAAGCCTAATCGGTCCCAAAATCTCTTTATATTTGCAGAAAAAAGAATAATTCGAAAAGCAAGAATTTAAATTGGCCGCGTGTCTGTTGACCAATAAAATTGATCGTGTACAGAGCAGAGTTGCCAAGTGTATTGGTTTTTAATATCCAATCACAGATCTGATGATCCAATTTGACAGACACCATTTTTGTTGTTATTGTTGTCGACTTGGTATGAATACAACTGTTACAATTATATAATTACAGAACGTTTTTTTTGTAAAGGGCTGGTCTCGGCGGGTACCTATTTTACTACATATTCCGTGTCATTAGTTTACATTCCGAAAAATATTTTTTCAGGTTATTTTTGGATTAATATGTTCTGGAGTAATTCTACATTTCACTGTATATATTTTTGCTTCTCTTTTCAGTCACCATACTGCTCCTTGGCCGAGATAAAATAAAAATTAAATCAAAACTTTCCATTCTTCGATAAAAGACAAAGTCTGAAATGAATGCCATATAAATAAAAGGGACCTACTAAATATACCACCTACTGTTTCAATTTTTCATTCTTCATTTTGGTACCAAAGTATTTGAAATTTTTCAAGTAAAATTTATCGATCATTTCAAAATCAACTCTGGTAAGTTGTCCGGAGTCAGCTTTGACAAAAACAGGCTCAATATTCATTTTGAAATTATTTTAACAAAAATACGAAGTTATGTGTTAGGAATCACACGTTAAAAGGTAAGACCTCAGTACTTAGCTCGCAGTCCTTAGCTCAGTCCTTAGCTCCTTAGTCCTTAGCTCGAGAGTTGTCGTTCGTATGGGGGCGACAGCTGATTAACGGAAAAACAGATTTTAAACAGATTTTTCTTTGAACATATGTGTTGAAACCATTTACATTAGAAAGAGCACATAGTCGCATACACTACAGAGGGCGCTGGCTGACTGGATGACAACATGGCTAATATACCAGTAACGTTGAATTTCTTATTTTTTGGTGGGTGGCATGAATGCATAATTGATTTATTTTATTGGGGTTCATGAGCATTCGAAAACCATTTGAAAATACAGCTCGTTTAATTCTATTTAGAATTATATTTAGATATAACTTGTACTATACCAGTTATCAAGGCAAATATTGTCCATTTTTATGCTTAATTGGAGGATTCGAGTGATGTTAGTATTGTATATTTATTTGTTTGCTGGTTTTATTCTTAAAAAAAATGAATGAATAATTACAGAAAATTTTAATTGATCGTTCATTTTCTCAGGAAAATGGAGTACCCATATCACAATTTATTGGTTTATTCGGCATTGAAAATGCCTGTCATATCGGATCCATTCTGCTTGTTTTTGCAACACTGAGTTTCAACTTTTTCTTAGCTGACAGCTCGCGTAGGAACAATACGTTTTTTCATCGAGTTCAGTTTGTGTATGCTTTGAAAGTGTTTTAGAGATACCTATATTTGAATATTAACATGGTGCATTCTTGTGCTGATTTTAATTGTGCGGAAAGGAACAAGAAAACAGAAAGCGCATTGGTTTATAAGTGAGTTATTTCATATAATGAGTTTAGGTTCCCAAAGGATAAAATGATGAGAAAAAAATGGGTGAAAGTGTTGAAAAGAAAGAACTACAATCCTTCTATTCTTCCAAGACTTTATAGAAATCATTTAAAAAGTGAATATGAATGAAAGGGGAACGAAAAGTATGAAACAAAATCAATTAAATTTTATCATATAATTAATGGTATTATTACCTCAGAAGCTTTTGTTGGATCAGTTCTATTACAATCAATGCTGTCTATACTTGACCTCATTCAACCTTCCTCTCAAGTTTTGGAAGATTCAACAGAATACCCAAGCGAGCCTGTAACGCTTGAATTTAGTAGCTATATTAGAAAGAGGTATGTATTTCGGAATCTTTTTTTTATAATAAATTGCAGTTGTACAGATCGAGGATTGTAGAATAAATTGAATATTTGAAATGATTCTTTAATTCAGTTTGCTGTATTTTTTGATTTCCATAACTGTATATTATTAAATAATGTATGAAATCATAGTTTAGGTAAATATTTTGTGATCTAGCAACTTTGTGTACTGATTTTAGATATTGGACTTATTTGCAAACATGATTTTTCCTGTACATTTTATTCCATGTGGAGAATTTTTTATTAATTGAAATGTTAACGGGTTCATACACACTTCCATAATTAAATTGATAATAATTATAGGCTTCGTAAATTTATGATTTTGCAATGTTGTTTATTTCTATTGTTCCTATTGGTCAATCGAACAAGAAGCGGGAATAGGGGCTTGACGTCATCACCCTACCACATTCGATTTTTGATAATTAATTACGGGAAAACTACGGCACTTAGAGAGATGAAACAAAGTGCACTGTTTTTCAATTTGAAATTTCTATCAAGTGAACTATAAACCAAAATTCATGGAACAAGCCCATTAGACTACCTACCTGACCTAAGGAACATCTTCAACTATTATTACCTATTACATCAATTCTACATCAATAATACTACTTCATCGGTTTTAAGGAAAACAAGTTCAATAATGGTATTCTATTTAGATCCAGTTGGTCATTCATTAAAATGTTTAAATTTTTAAGTGTAGACATTTCCTTTTCCACTTTTGCGATAATAAAGACAATACAGCCGAATTCGAAAAATCAGGAGTATATAAATTAAAGTATGGAACGTGTCCTAAGACATATATTGGTTAAACTGACAGAACATTCAGGAATCATATCCAGGAACATCATATGAGCTATGTAAATGAGAAAACAAGTTCAACATTTTCAAATCATCTTTTAGAAGAAAATCATATGTTTAACAAAGATCAAAGGTTTAAAGCTGGATCATTTGGAAGCAATGGAAATCAATACACTTAAAAATTCAAATATTCTAATGAATGACCAACTGGATTTGAATAGATCACCATCATTGAACTTGTTCTCTTAAAAACCGATGAAATATTATTATTGATGTAGAATTGATGTAATATGCTCTAGGTAATCATAATTGAAGATGTAGAAGATGAAGGTATATGAAAGTTGTAGATGTTCTAGGTAATTTGATCGAGTGAATATTTAGGTAGGTAGTTTCAATTGTGATTACTTAGGGTATATAAACATCAGAGTAAGAACGAACTTATAGTACTTAAGTCACTATGAAAAAGCTATTTGTGTTAGCGAAACATCTGATATATTTAAATAAAGTTTATGAAGATCAAATCGTAAGGTGAATTTTATGAAATTCCTTGTTGAAATAATCAAAGTTCTAACATACTCTCTGAGAAGTATTCACAGGAATCACCACCATCATTACCAGTATAACATATTTGAATAACTTGGAAAACTTTGAGGCAATACCTTTTGTGATGGCAGGAACACTTTAAACTGGGACCAAATTATTTCGACATTTGTATCAGCAATGTCATATATTCCGGGAAAAAATGAAAATTCATGAATTCCTATTCAACCAAAAGGAAAAGTACGTGCCAATGTGAATAACCAAGTACTTTTTAATAAAGAGACTTATGAAAAACTCTACAAAGAAGTACCATCCTATATCGATCACCCCATCTGTAGTTTTCGAAAGTTTGAAGATTCGTGGCTCACTCGCAAGGCGGTGTAACTCACGATCGGAAGGGCATGGGTTCGATTCCTGCCTCGACCAGATATTTTTCTCGATAGAATGTATCTGGTTGAAGCTGCAATGATTCTGCAACCGTGTTAGAAATCACACAAGCTCGCACAAGTTTCTCAACTTCTGAGAGATGTCGTTCATATGGGGGCGACAGCTGATTAACGGAAAAACAGATTTAAACAGATGAAAAGTTTGAATTAATTTCATTTGTTTGGGATGACCACCGACAGACCACGACAGATTTGTCAGTGTTGGGTGGGTAATTTTAGGTTGATGGAACCTTCCGGATATCCCGAACAAACAAAAATCTCTCCAACTAGTCATAAGCTGTGCCTGTAGTTGAGTTTTGGAGAACTTTGTTTGTTCGGGATATACACACGGTTCACTCTGCCTGAAATGATCTATCCAGGTTGGTGATAACGTCATTACTATATATTAAATTATTATCTAAAAAAGACGTGAATGAAAATAAAAAATCCGTTTTTTCAAAAACTCCACCTCACGATTTGATCTTCACAAACTTTATTTTGTAAAAATATATCGCATGTTTCGTTAGCACAGTAGCTTTTTCAAGTGATTTATACTTCAAGTTGTTCTTACATTAGTATTTATATACTACAGGTAACCATAATTGAGACTACCTCCAAAAAAATTACCTGAACCTCTACCTAAGGTACCTGCTGAATTATAATTACCTAAAGCATATTACCTCACATCTACATCAATAATAATTCTTTCTCGGTTTTTAAGAAAACAAGTTCAATAATGCTGATCTATTCAAATCCAGTTGGTTATTCATTAGAATGTTTGAATTTTTAAGTTAAGCAATGGAAATTATTAAACTTAAAAATGTAAACATTCAAATGAATGACCAACTGGATTTGAATAGATCACCATTATCGAACTTGTTTTCTTAAAAACCGAGGAAGAATTATTACTGATATAGATAATATGCTTCGGGTAATCATAATTGAACAGGTACCTTAGGTAAAGGTTTAGGTATTTTTTTTTGAGGTAGTTTCAATTATGGTTACCTGTAGTATATAAATATTAATGTAAGAACAACTTGAAGTATAAATCACTTGAAAAAGCTACTGTGCTAGCGAAACATGCTGTGATATATTTTTCAAAATAAAGTTTGTGAAGATCAAATCGTGAGATGGAGTTTTTGAAATTACTATAGATCTTCATCAAGTAACGGCTGAATCAATCAGGAAATTAAAAATCCGATCTGTTATTAGAATTATTAGTTATTCAAATATAGGTTATTATTCAAGAAAAACAGAGAATTGAAACAATGGAATTGATTAATCAAATAATAAATTATCTGAATAAAGAGTAAATGAAATTAAAAAATTGCCATTTGTTGAGATATATTTCTTAATCAAGTGTAAACTATTGAAAAAAAAGAAAATATGAATAAGAAATCGACGCGTTTCTAGAATTATAGATCAATAATGTATTAAATTATCGTTTCAAAATACGGTGATTTGAAATCAAATATTGACCTGTTTCGAGAATTTAAAAAAATATTATTCATTAGGGCTCAAAATGATTTTATGTTTCACCTATGAATACACTGATTTGTTTCTATAATGTTGACACAATAATATTTTTTCTAGTGGGAAGTATGCAACTCTTAGTTTTTATACTTCAAATTAAATATTTTCTAATCAACTCACGAAATTTAATTTTGTGTGACTGCAAGGTAACAACGGCCTCTGGAATTTCTTCTGAGATCCAACTGCAGCTTCAAGAGGCGGTGCAGAAAAACTAGCACACACAAAATTAATAGTGTCTATCCAAGCCTGCAGTTCTTTCGAGTCACTGAAAAACAATGGGTACATGAAATATTTCATTACAAATGATTTATTCATACAGCTAGATGATATAAAATAGCAAAGGAAACATTTTTTATTGTGCAATATTATTGACAAAGACTTTGTAATATACTCATTTGTTACAAAATTGAATAAAAATAATAATAAATTTTAAAATTGATCCTTTTGTATTAATTTTTGCATAATATCAACTGCACGAAAACTTTAATCAATTGTGTTCAAAGTCCTTCCCCTTCAAATCCCAATCCAGTGGATTTTTATACCAGCTTTAACTTTTCCGTCTTCGTTCGTAAATAATAATTTCATTGTACTAAAGGTTACGGTAGTAGAAAATCTGTCATGGAGGTCACCATATTTTTTTACAAATGGCATCTATGTAAAAAAGCATGGTGGTCCCCGTAACTGATGTTCTCCTACCGTTCCTCTTAAATAGTTTACTATAATGTAATATAACAAAAACTTTAAAAACCTTAGCCACAGCAACGCATGGCCGAGTCTGCTAGTATATATACTAGGTATACTACTTTAGGTAAATTTGCCTGTATTTGGATTACATCAGGTACTATTCTTTGTGTTGAATCTTCTCTAGGTTTATTGTTTCTAGGAGTGTGTATTGATTTGTTTAATATATTGAATGTTAGGTCTTTTTGTGTTTTGATTTGTACTTGTTCCTCAATAAGTGATTTATGACTGTTAAATTTATGGATGTTTAAGTTTTTTCAAATGTCCATGCGGTTTCCTTTATTGCCTTGTTTTATGAGTTTTATGTTCTCTGGTGGGGGGAAATTATGTTTGTTTTGTATCGCGTGTGTTGCGAGGTTTGATTTATATACTATTGGGTTTATGTATGCCTTTTTGTGCTCCTCGTACCTTTGGATCAGTTTTTTCTTGGTTTGGCCGATATAGAATTTGTTGTAGTCCGAGCATTGTATACTGTATATCCCGTTTTGGTTTTGGTCTTTGTCTTCTTCTTTTTCATAGTTGTTTATTTTTTGTGTTATCTTCGTGTTTGGCTTGTATGTGATGTTGATGTTCAGTGGTTTGAAGACGTTTGTTAGTTTTTTGGTTTGGTGTCCTACGTACGTAAATGCTGTTCACCGTTGTGTTGTTTTCTCTGTTGGGGTGGCTTCATCCTTGTTCTGTATTTTTTGTTTGATTTTGTTTTCTAGTTTATCTATTGTCTTTTGGGTGTATCCGTTTTCGTTCGCTATTTGGTATATGACTTTCCGTTCTTTGTTTCGGGCTTCATTGCTGAGTGGTATCCTTAACATTCTATATATGAATGCGTTATAGGCAGCCATTTTGTGTGATGGTGGATGGTTTGAACTTGCGGGTATGGTGGATCTTGTCTGTGTAGGTTTCCTGTATATTGCCATTTGAAATTGTGTTTTGTTGTGGTTATATCCTATGGTTATGTCCAGGTAGTTAAGTTTTGAGTTGTATTCTTCCTCAATGCTGAAATATAGTTTTTCATTTATTCCGTTAATTTCTTTTTTTATTTGTTCTATTCTTATTCCATTGTTTTGTGATATGTGCAGTCCATCGTCAACGTATCTGAACCATTCTCCTTTTTCATCATGTGTTTTTATTATTGTTAAGATTTTCTCATCTATGGTTTGCAGGTATATTTCGGATATAATGCTAGATAGTGGGGATCCCATCGCTAGTCCATCTGTTTGTTTATAATCTGAAGGGAAAATTTATAAACAAACAGATGGACAACAAACATAATTTCCCCCCACCAGAGAACATATATATAAATTACAGGTCACATTGTTTGTCCGCGATTGACTCCTAAACTACTTAACCGATTTCAATCAAATTTGCACACCATATGCAGTTTGATCCAACTTGAAAGATAGGATAGCTTACATCTTAATTTATAGCCGTAATATTATTTTATTTGTCTATTATTTGATATTCACAATTATCTGTTGATTCCAAACGATTTTAACAGATGGCGATATCTGTTGACTGGATTGAGTAAGTAATCAATAGATGGCGCTGCTATGTTAAACCTACAAACGTATCATACAAGCTACAATGTTGATGAAATTAACTTCCAGATACAACAGTTGTTACCAGGCGATCTGATGTCTTTTAAATCAATCGATACTGTTGTTGATGAAAATGAAAGTGTAAATTTTCCAATTGAATTTTTAAATTTACTAGATATACCTGGAATGCCACCACATAATCTTTGATTAAAGATTGGTTTCCCTATTATTCTCCTACGTAATTTGAATTCACCTCTATTATGCAACGGTACGCGTTTGGTCATCAAAAAGATCACCGGAAATAATCTTGAAGCAACCATTTTAACTGGGAAGTTTAAAGAAAAAGTGGGCCTGTTGCCACGTATTCCAATGGTAACGTCAGATTCTACCATACCCTTCAAAAGGCTACAGTTTCCAATTCGTTTAGCTTTTGATATGCCTATAAAGAAGTCTCAAGACCAAACAATGTCCATTTGTGGTTTAGATTTGGAAAATCCATGTTTTTCTCATGGGCAACTATATGTTGCATATTCACGTGTAGGGAAACCGTCGAATCTTTATTTTTTGTTCAATCGTTTTAATTTTACTTGTATTTTATTTCACTATTATTTCATTTCAGGTTATTTTTGCTTAATATAATTGTTATTTTAAGCTATTTATTTTTAATTCTTCTTTTTCAGTTGTTTCGGGGATTTCAAATCATTTTACATATTAGACAATGGAAGTCCGAACTAGTAAAATTTCATTTTGTAAATTGCTCAACTGATAGTAAAATCTCAGACGTTGCTAAATTGAAAAAAAAAACTCGAAAACTGTCAGATTAACAAAAAATTTTTATAGGGATAATGTCGGAAGAGATGGCACTTCAGCTGACAAATCCAGGGCTATATAGAAAGAAGCTTTTAGATAAAGCTACACCTGAATTATGGGGTGGTATGAAAAAAAAATAAGTATTTAGTTACTCTACGTATTTAGTACTCTTATGTACAGTTTGTTGTAAGAATATTCTCATCTTTGGTATGAATACAAATATCTCTATCCTCGTTAGGATGAGAATATACTCCATAAATTCGGAGTCTAATAGTTACCAAACTTCAGTTTGATCGTGGCACAGCTATGGCTGGAGTGCACGTTTAATTTGTGTTCAAAAGTGGCAGAAGATGTTGGTGTTCATCAAAGTACTGTGTCTAAGGTTGTGACGCAAGTTGCTGGCCAGAAAATAGAAAAATGCGTACATTGGATAAAAATTCCTTGCACTCCGGCGGATATAATAGCAGCTAAAGAAAGATGGCAAACAAAGTACACTTTTCCGTGTGCTAAGGGTGTGATCAATTGCACCCACATAAAAATAAAAAACCACCACTTCATAGTGATAAATATATAAATCGCAAAGGTGATGAGATGCATATGAGTGGTTTACAAGCATAGACGCATCATGGTCAGGATCTGTCCATGATTCACGCATATAAAGTAACTCACAAATTTGTAATATTGCTAAAAATGAGTTTAAGAGGGCAAATGCATTAATTTTAGGAGATAAAGGTTATAGCGTAGCACCGTGGTTAATGGTGCTTTTTAGAAATCCAAATAATTCGGCACAGCTTGCTTGTAACAAATTAATAATAATAATCTTTATTGGTTTCAAAGACCTTAAAGGTATAAAACAAGTCAAAAGAAATTTGAACATAGATTAGGCAAACAATACATGTACTTTAAAATGCTATAAGGAGCAAAGAGAGTTCACTACGAAGATAAGAATAATGGTGTGGCACTTCTCTAGAGTCGTTTCCCCTAAATGAATCTCTATATTTTCAGCCGTTCTCTGTTTTGTGTGGTAAATAATAAACTGTGTCTTGCTAGCATTGATATAAAGACTATTAATGGAGAACCATAGAATCATTTTTTGCATGAGATCATTGCAAGCTTGTTGATTGAGATCAACAGATTTTTGTGATACTAATATGGAGAGATCATCAGCGTATAATGTTAATTTAAAATGTGAGAAGTATTTTACAATGTCTACTGTGTAGATTGAAAATAGAGCTGGAGCAAGAACACTTCCCTGAGAAACTCCAACTTCCACAGGTGCAAGATGAGAGTGGTGAATTGTGTTTCAACCGCTATTCTCATTGCAAGATATCTGTATATACTGATATCTATTTTTGAGAAAAGATTCGAACCAGCTAAAAGCAGATCCCCTGATACCATAAGACCAAAGCTTGTCAAGTAGTCGATCGTGTGGAACACTATCAAAGGCTTTACTTAAGTCACAATATATGCCTATAGGGCTCTTTTTTTTTCTAATTCATTGAGAATGTGTATATATGTATCTGTGGTTGCCGTAGATGTAGATTTAGATTATCTGAATCCATGCTGTTCTTCTGGGATAATTCTGAACCTTGCAATGAATGAGTTTAGCCTCTCTAGCATACAATATTCAAAAAGTTTGGAAAAAACTGATGTAAGTGATATGGGTCGATAGTTATTCATTATATTTTTTTCCTTCTTTTTATGGAGTGGAATCACTTTCGCTATTTTGAGAGCGACGGGAAATATGCCTGTTTGTAGTGAACAATTTATTAAGTGAGTTATAGGTTTCACCAAATAATTTTTGAATTCTTTTATTATATTGTTAGGTAAGTCATCAGGTCCAGACGAACATTTATTTTTGATTAGAGAATATATTTAGCATTTCTTCCTCGATGAAAGGAAGTACAACCATTGAAGTAAGATTTCTGTTGAGGCTATGATCAAAGTTGCTACTTTCAACCTGTGGTATATCGTCTATAACCTGTTTGGGAGCACCTATGAAAAAATTATTGAACAGATTTGCAATGTCATCAGGACAGGAGATTTCTTCATTTTCATGGGAGATTTTTATATTGGAAGATTTGGGTTTCTTATTATTTTTCAGTTTATTGATAACTGTCCAGGAGGTTTTATTTTTATTTTCAGATAATTACAGATATTTACAAAGCAGCGTGTAATAATTGAATGATGTTTTGGGCACCTAAAATAACGATTTCCTATGCTTCAATATAAAGTTCGGGTGTCGTTTAAAAAGGTCCAAAACTTGTTATATGTTGTTTCATATTACACAATGTAGCTATATATTTAAATGATGAACTCGATACAAGATATTTGGGATCCGCTTCCCGTACAAGATATACAGTGTCACCGATAAAGTCCGCATCAAATGGAAACTTTTTTATTTATCGTTTTATGTGAAATTTGATTTTGGCAGTAGATTTTGCTTAAGAAATGATGTCAAATGGCGTCTACAAAATAGGTCACGTGATTTCCTTAACCTGTCAAAATTGACATTTAAAAAAAGAAACATCGAAAAATGACATTATTCTTCAAAATATCCAAAAATATCAAA